AATGTCCCTTTCACATTAGAGTCCCCATTTACATCAGGATCCCCTCCTTCACATCAGGAGACCTCTCACCTGGACAGGAAGTTCAGAGAAGCTGAGCTGAGAGAGTTGGAGCCAGCTGTTTAAAAACATGATGGCTGTAAGTGCTTGGGCACAAATGTAAAGAAATACTTTGCTGGGCAATGTATATTTGTTTAATCTGGATTCAATATTGGAAAAAAATTTGAAAGATTAATACTACTTTATATCAGTTAGGCAATACAGATTTCAATGCCCCATTCTATATTATGATTATGTAACTCGTAAACATGTGCAGAAGAATGGCAATTGACTGTTTGTTATCATTTTACATATTGAAAAGTATTTTATTGTCTTTCATTTGGAAGGTACAAAACACATTACCTGATTTTTAACAGTAATGAAAACATAACATGGAAAGAATATTCATTTTCCATCTAAACAATGTTTTTCCAAGATTGTACACATCCCATGAACTGCATTAAACCAATATTTTACAGAAAAATTACAATGAAAATAATGCTGTCTAATGTTCAATTAAAACAAACCTATCACCACATCTAAGCTACAATATTTACAGTTTGGTAGTATACACCTGAATGTGCTTCTACCTCAGCAGAATTCCAAAATTGATTCTCTGACCTTTAGGAGCCCCAAAAAAACAGACTCTTCTGGCTTGGTGGAGAGCTTTCACATTTGCGTTGTGCAAATTACAGGCTTATACAGGGATGTGAACTCTGGACTTTAAAATATGAGACATCTGTTGGCTCTGCACTTCAGTTGGAATGAAGTAGAGGCGTGTATCAAATAAGCTGTAAAAAGTAATAATGTATCTATGGTGAATGGTTCAATTTAAGCATGTCATAGGTTTCTTTTTTATCTTAAAGGAGAACTATGAGGTTAGTGGAAATCACTCATGTCATAGTTCTCCTTTAATCATAGAAATGTCACAACTTGCATTCAACTAAGTGATAGTTAAAGGAGAACTATGAGGTTAGTGGAAATCACTCATGTCATAGTTCTCCTTTAATCATAGAAATGTCACAACTTGCATTCAACTAAGTGATAGTTAAAGGAGAACTATGAGGTTAGTGGAAATCACTCATGTCATAGTTCTCCTTTAATCATAGAAATGTCACAACTTGCATTCAACTAAGTGATAGTTAAAGGAGAACTATGAGGTTAGTGATTTCCACTCATCCTTATAGTTAGAGCCGACCTGTGACAGTCTCATTGTCACAGGTCGGCTTAGAACTATGATGTTAGTGGAAATCACTCATGTCATAGTTCTCCTTTAACTATCACTTAGTTGAATGCAAGTTGTGACATTTCTATAATTAAAGGAGAACTATGAGGTTAGTGATTTCCACTCATCCTCATAGTTAGAGCCGACCTGTGACAAAAAAGCTGTCACAGGTTGGCTCTATTGATCGGGAAGTAGGCGAACACATACCATCACTAGCTCACTTTCCGATCATCTCTCTGCAGAGAGTGGTGACTGGTAGTCACAGCTCCCCGCAGGGATTCCCCCTCCCCTCTCTGATCCTCCAGCTCTGACTGGAGGAATGGACGGGGAGGGGGCGGGCACAGCTGGCTCTGCCTTTAGACAGCCAGAGCCAGCTGTCGCTCACACAGCCTGGTGGATCCAGACAGTATAGCCCGCTATATACTGAGCTTTGAGTCACGGGAGGAGGTTAGTATATGTCCTCCCATGACCCTAGAGAAATATGGGGTAAAACAATTACCCCGTAGTTCTCTTTTAATTGTCAATGTTCTGAGCTGCCATCCTTGCAACTGTCTTAGACATTTCCGTACATACCTCAGTGCTGTGTCAGACTTTTTTCTAATCTCCCCCATGCACCTGAGAAACCTCTTCCTTTAGGCCTTTCTACTCCTTATGAATTAAGTGGTATTAGGTAAGGGAAGGGTAGAGGAAGTAACTTTGCCCATAAGGCACTGCACAGAGCAATACTAATGTAATTCAGTAATCTGATTGGCTACTGAACTTTGCATGATCACTGCTTCACTGCTTTCCGTTTCGGTCTATTTCAATTAAGTGCACTTGAATAACAAAATGCGACATGAAATGACTGATCTTTTACTTATTGGTAGCTACAGTTAACCAAATATTAGTTTTGATATTTTGTGGCCTGAGGTACTCACATTATTGTCCATGGACCATGGGGCCTTGTAAGACATTAGGCAATTGATATTGTCTGACTGTCTTTTAACATCAATACAATGTCCAATACCTGCTACAATTTATATGTATTCCTAAGTGTCTACAAACAGACAGAATGAGCTATTTACAATTAATAACAATCAAAGCCAAAGTAAGTTAGGGTTCACGCAGTAAGTTTGCTTCACAAAGTTTTGTCACCAGACGTCGGTGTTCTGTGCTCCAGCTCAACCCATATGCCATCCTTTGGACGCAGAATAAGTTCTCCCAACAGGCAAAGATCCTCTTTCTTTTGGCTTGCCTTTACAGAAAAGTTTCTCAGGATGGTAGACAGAACAACCTTTTCTTCCATTAAAGCAAATCGTTGGCCTGTTGTTAAAACAGAAACATGACATACAAGAAAAACTATGCTAAGCTACTCAACTACATCCATTTTCACAGAAATATTCTAACCATTGTGGCCTCCACATTTCACACTAGACACATAAGACTGGGGAGAGATCTTAGAACTGCCTTAACCATTGTCCATGACTAGGTAGTACATTTCATGCTGGATTTACTTTATTGGATGGGGCTCCATATACACAGTCTTATAAAGGTTAGATTTAGAAATTGCATGCAGGATGAAGCAACATGCTAAAGTCTGGAAACTAATGGGCACCTCCCTCTCCACATCCGGATACATAATCATATAGGGTTGATTTATTAAAGGAATAGAGCCTGTTAAAAGTGAATGGTAATGGAGCTTAGTGAATATGGTAAAACTGTGTTTATTTCAACAAACCAATCAAGTTCAAGCAAACATCTAGTCTTTTTTCCCTCACAAGTGATTGGGTCTTAAAGGAGAACTATGGGGTCAGTGTTTTTCCCCATAGTTCTCCTTAGGGTAACGGGAGGACACAAACTAGCGTCCTCCCGTTAACCTAAGCTCAGTATATCGCGAGCTACAGCTCGCGGTATACTGAGATGCCGCAGCCGGAGCGGATCACGACTTAGATGACGGGATCCGCCCAGCTGCGTGAGTGACAGCTGGCTCTGCCTATCTAGAGGCAGAGCCAGCTGTACCCGCCCCCTCCCCCGTCCGTTCCGCCAGTCAGCGCTGTCAGATCGGAGCGGGGAGAGGGGAATCCAGCTCCTCCCTCTGTCACGGCAGAGAGCCGTGACAGGCTCGAGAGGCGAGCGAACCCGGTATGTGTTCGCTCACCTCCCGATCTACTGAGCCGACCTGTGACAGTCTCATTGTCACAGGTCGGCTAGAACTATGAGGTGAGTGAAAAGCACTCACCTCATAGTTCTCCTTTAACCACTTTTTTTTATAATGGATCCAAGCTGGAGTGGTCAGTTTATGTCTCTTGGACTGTGGCTAGAATATAGAGGACACTGTGCCAATGCACAGCATGCCTAAATCTCCAATTGTCAGTTAATCCCCACTCCCCACACCCAGCCGTGTTGATTGACAGTGGCTCCTAGCAGGAATACTACACACACCTACTTCTCCACTGTGCTACATCAGACACGTTTCCCTATGACTGACATTAGACAAGTCCCCACTATTGCTGCTCTATAGTTCCAGAGCTGCTGAGCAGTCACAGACTTTCCCTGTTTTTTTATTTTTTTATTTAGCTGTGTATAAAGCCTATTGGAACCAAACCACCATTTACAGATAAGCCGATAAAAGCAGTTCTCAGAAGTTCAGGGGTGCTGGGATGATATCATCTGGGCAGTCAGGAAGCAGCTGTCAGCAGCAGTCAGTGCACATTGGAGCAATAAGTGAGAAGGAGAAAAGTGGTTGCCAGGACCTGAAGAGAGAGAAGCCAACTAGCAGATGACTGGAGATAGGCAAAGGGTGTAGGCTGTCCAGCACACTGATATGAGGCAGAAATGGAGATAAGAACTGCAATGTAGACAGATGGGGAACTTACTTCCAGCTGTGTGTAATATCAGACACTGCCCACCCGCTTAGTATTCAAATAGACCCCCACTATGAGGAAAAGGGATGTAAAGGAAGGCTGTACGGTCACGTGGCTGTAAAGCACAAATTTATAAATAGGCCCTTGGTAAAGCTTTTTCTATAAGGTTGATTTACTAAAGGCAAAAAGACTTCACTTTGCTAAGATATTTCTCTTAACTTAGGGAATCAGGTGAAAATTAATTTTGCAAAATATACCCAATTTATGTGCAAGGTACATTTTAAATATAATATTTTTGCTTTCACATGATTGGATGATGGAAGTCAGCAGAGCATCACCTTCTTCACTAAGCCAAAAGTATATTCTCTTGCAAAGTAAACATTCCCTTGCAAAGTGAACAGCCTATTAGTAAATAAACCCCTATGAGTCTGCAGTGACAGTTGTATCGCCAATACTTGTTTCCTTACCATATGAGAAGCACAAGTTGCTACATCAATTCATAAAACAGTATCAAAATTTAGATTCATGTTCTGTCTTTTTCAGCTTACCTATGCAGTTCCTGAGCCCAGCAGAAAAAGGTATATATGCATAAGGGTTACGTCCACTTGAATTCTCTGGAAGAAAACGTTCTGGTCTAAATTCCTCTGGCTCAGAGAAATGTTCCGGATCTCGATGCAGAGCGAATGGCAAAATTACAACATTTACACCTTTAGGTACATGATACCCTCCTGCAGCAATAAACACACAGAAATATAATAAGGTGAATTTTCAGGATCTTTGTAAGAACAATACCAGGCTTCATGCACTGTATATATAAAATTGATATTTTTTTTTTTCTAGGGAGTGCACTGATAATTTTGCTCTACTTCTAATACAGTGCTGATTGTACTGTGTTCTTAATGTGTATACAACATTAACTAATATAAATATAAAAATATATATACAGTACAATATACGGTATGAAGAAAAACAGTAAACTGTAAAACGAATATACAATGCATGCAAAACTACCACCTGTTATTATTATAGTTCATATATCAGTAGTTCTATTGCTCCATAAACTTCATTAATTGGTTTTACAGAAACAAAAAAATCCTATAAAGTTCAGAAACTTTGCAATCCCAGGAGATGTTATGCACAGAAAATAAAGATATTACATTTGTGCTCCCAGACAACACTATTGTGTATGTGATATACCTCTGGTGCTCCCCCTGCAGTATGCTCATTTACTGGATCGTTTTGACACCCTTGAACCTGTATAAATAGGTATGGTCAAATGTGCTTGTTAACCAGAATCCTCACTATTTATTTCTAAATTGTCACAATTTTAACCTACTACGTGCAAACGCCTTAAATATATGCACTATATTGCCAAAAGTATTGGGACCCCTGCCTTTACTTGCACATGAACTTTAACCCCTTCATGACTGAGGCCCTTTTTTCCATTTTTGCACCCATGTTATATTCCACATTTTAGGCCTGAAAATGACGTAAAACCCCCCAACATTATATATTTTCTGAATGCCAAGACCCTATAGAATAAAATGGTGGTAGTTGAAAATTTTTATGTTGCGCAATATTAGCGCAACTCCTTATTAAACCCCAAAATTTAGTGACAAATTTAATTAAATGCCCCAAAACACAACAAATTACCCATTTTTTTAATGAAATATAAAAGATGAGGTTACAACGAGTAAAACGATACCCAACATGCCCATTTTATAGTTGAAGTTAGGACTCTGTGCAGGCCAGTCAAGTTCCTCCACCCCAAACTCACTCATCCATGTCTTTATGGACCTTGCTTTGTGCACTAGTGCGTGGTCGTGTTGGAACAGGAAGGGGCCATCCCCAAACTGTTCCCACAATGTTGGGAGCATGAAATTGTCCAAAATGTCTTGGTATGCTGATGCCTTAAGAGTTCCCTTCACTGGAACTAAGGGGCCAAGCCCAACCGCTGAAAAACAACCCCACACCATAATCCCCCCTCCACCAAACTTTACACTTGGCACAATGCAGTCAGGCAAGTACCGTTCTCCTGGCAACCGCCAAACCCAGACACGTCCATCGGATTGCCAGACAGAGAAGCGTGATTCGTCACTCTAGAGAACACGTCTCCACTTCTCTAGAGTCCAGTCGCGACGTGCTTTACACCGCTGCATCTGACGCTTTGCATTGCACATGGTGATGTAAGGCTTGGATGCAGCTGCTCGGCCATGGAAACCCATTCCATGAAGCTCTCTATGCATTGCTGTTGTGCCAATCTGAAGGCGACATAAAGTTTGGAGGTCTGAAGGCTATTGACTCTGCAGACAGTTGGCTACTTCTACACACTGTGTGCTTCAGCATGCACTGACCCCGCTCTGTCATTTTACGTGGCCTACCACTTCGTGGCTGAGTTGCTGTTGTTCCCAGTTCCTTCCACTTAATACCACTAACAGTTGACCGTGGAATATTTAGTAGCAAGGAAATTTCACGGAACACCGGAATCCAATGATTTGGAGCGGTGTCCCAATACTTTTGCCAATAGTGTGTGTATATGTATATGTATGTGTGTGTGTGTATATATATATATATACAGTAATACCTTGGTTTACGAGCATAATTCGTTCCGGCAGCATGCATGTAATCCAAAGCCCATAGGAAATAATGGAAATTCAGACGATTCGTTCCACAACCCAAAATTATTCATATAAAAATGAATACAATACAGTACTGTAATATAATACTCTACAAAATATAAAGAAAAATAAACTGATTACCGGTACCTTCGTGGCTGGTGTGAGGGGGACAAGAGAGAGGAGGATTATTGTGTAGGACGACTTTCACTATCACTAACGGAATCACTGCTATCTCTTGACTGAATGGAATCTTTTTCATTTCGTGAAACCTTAACAAGGTATCTATCCAATGTGACATTGCATTGTCGTTAAACAGTCTCATCGCTCGCACTGCTACAGCCTTATTCGGGTGGTGCTTTTCTGCAGAATTTTGCTCTTATTGCAAGACATTGCTTGTATATCAAGGCAAAATTTTTCAGAAATGTTTGCTTGTCTTGCAAAACACTCTCAAACCAAGTTACTTGTAAACCAAGGTATTACTGTATATATATTTATATACCGTATTTTGCGCTTTATAAGGCGCTCCGCTCCATAGGACACAAGCATTCTGGGACAAGGATTCTGTGACAGAAGCTGCAGTTCAGTGACCGCTGAAACAGGTGGCACTGTGACGTTCTTCGTCTGCTCCAGGGGCTCTATGGTGAGCTCCTATGCTGTGGTCACGGTCCCCCAGGGGAGCCCCGAAAACCACGGCGGGGGGGGGGGG